CGCGCGGCGTCTCTGCTGCGGCACACGCAGCCCCGCGGGCGCGGGGGGGGGGGGGGGGGGGGACCAGGGCACCCCCATCCCACCGAGAGCCGTTTGAGATGCCCCAGGGGCTGGGGCCACGCTGGGCTGACGTCTGCAAGCACTCGGATGCAAGGGGGACTTGGAGGGTCAGGCACACAGCCTGTCCCCTGCCTGGGGACGCCTGGGTGCTGTGTGACCCTGAGCTCGTCACCCCCTGCCGTGCCCCGGCATGGGTGCAGGTGCTCACGCGTGCTGACAGCACCGAGCAGCATCCCATCCCGAGGGAGCACTATGTGCAGGGGATCAGAGGGCAAAAATCAGATAACTAACTAGGTAATTACAGGCGGTCATCTTTAATTAGAGAAAAGAGGGGTGTGAATCAGGGGGACAGGGAAGGTGGAGGCTGCCACGCTCAGGGAGATGCTGAGCTCCCGGTTAGCCCCAGCCGTGGAGTCCAGGGATCGCTGAGCCTCCCGGCCGCCTTGGCTCCCACCAAACACCTGCTTGCTCTCTCTCTCGAAAACCTCCCTAATTGCAGCAGAAACCTTGAGAGCCGCCGGTGATTGCCTCTGAAGGATTCATAAATCAGGCAGCAAATAATGGGAGATCTCTGTGATATTGTTTCAAAGAAAATTTAAAAAAAAGACAAAAAAAGCAGAGACGGAAACAGCTAAAGCCAGCGCGACAGCTTCATGCCCTGTCTTTTCTATGGAGAGAAATAATTAAGCCATTCTGGGGGATCTTCAGCTTTCTGAAAGCATCCCCCAGCACGGCGCCCGAATGAAGCCGATGGCATTGCTTCCTCCGGACGCTGCCGGATCCCCCTGGGCAAAGCGGCCAGGACGCGCCTCGGGCTGGGCTTGCTGCTGGCAATGGAACATGTCCCCGTGCTGAGGCCGGCTCCGGCGATGCTGGGGTGGTGGGGTCCCTGGAGCCGCCGCTCAGCCCCGCCACCCTGGCAGAGGTGGCAGCAAACGTGCTGCTGGGGGACGGCGCTGGCACCGCCTGACACCCCATCCTGGTAAACGGCGTCACCGTGCCACGAACGTCACCCCATGATCCACCTTATTGAGCAAAAGGCGCAGGAGAAAACCCGCCCTGCTCCAGACAGGCCCATTAAACCAACGTACACTATTATTTCTCAAAGGTGTAATTAAATGTAATTGTCAATTACTAAGTGGCGCTGTGGAATAGGCACAAACGGTGGCGTCCGCCCCCAGCCCGCCGCAGCAGAGGCGAGCAGGTCCCAGCACCGGGACCCCCCTGGTGCCCTGGCTTTGCGATCCCCCAAGAAACAGGCGGCTGCATCTGTTCACGCCACTCTGGTATTTGCTGCTTCACAAGAGCTGAAATCTGACCTTTTTTAATATACAAGGCTGCGATTTCAGAGCCAGGAGCAGCTCTGGGAGGAAAAGGTGGGAGCGAGTGAGATGGGGGGGGAGAAAAAGCATTGCAGCCTCCCAGCAGGGTCAGCCGGGTGGCATTTTGGTACCCACTGAGGGCTGGGGCTGAGCTGGCGGCAGGGATACTCGGGGGAGCATCGGTGGGATGCAGGAGCCTGTGCCAGTGGGGCAGGGATGAAGGACGGGAGGCAGAGTCAGGCAACTGTCCGTCTAAAAATAAATGCAAGCCGTCATGCGCTCGGTATTGGGAGCAAGAGCGGGGCCAGGCAAAGTGAGCCTGCTTGGAAATTGCAGCCCTGTGCTTTGCCGCAGACGAGGTCCTGATAATTGCACTTTCTTTTCTTCCTTTCTTTCCCTTTTCCCCCCGCTGCGCTGCAATAATTGGGTGCTGTCGCCCGAGCTCATCCGCTGCCGGCTCCCTGAAAGGAGCTCTGCAATTAGCAAGCGTCATCCTGTAATAAAGCCTTTAATATCCACTTTCACGGCTCACACCACAGTTGCTCAGCCCCGTCCCCATCCCCATCCCATCCCCATCCCCATCCCTGCACAGCCTGGCAAGTGCTGGGGTGGCAAGACACCCACACGCCATGCCCATGCCTGCTGCCGCCCGTCCAGGCAGCTGCCTGAGCCAGTGGGCAGGGCAGGAGCAGCGGCTCCAGGTGCAGCTCTGAGCCACTGCCTGTGGGCAGGAGCAGCGGCTCCAGCCCCGGTGCAGCTCCTGCCCATCCTCGCCGCTCCACCCGTGAGACGGTGCGCTGGCTGGAGCGGAGCCCAGCACTGGGCCATGCACGGCATCACAGCGCAGAGGCCTCGGGTCCGATCCTGACCCACTTTGCAGAGCAAAAAAGTCTCCGCCAGCGTTTCAAAGCCGGCTCCTGCCTGGGAGCCCTGCGCAGGGCTGGGGTTCCCAGGGTGCTTTCTAACAAATGCTCACAATAAGGTAATTATGGAAGAAATAATAAATGTGTCAGTCCTGCGAGAAGTATTTTTACTGGGAGCGAGGGGGGAGCCCTGCCATCGTGTCGAGCGTGCGTGTGCTCACCGTACATATTAATTAACTGGATAAAAAGCTCCCCAGCCCCGTGCCGTGTACATTATTTATGAACACCGTCTCGGGGCGGTGGTGACTTACGGGCTCTCCTGCTCTGCTCGCTGCCTTGCATTTTCCCTTGGTTTTCTCCCTCCGAGTTGCCATGCGTCGGTGCGTGCCTGGAGGGACCTGCTGCTGGCCGTGGCATGGTGGGAGGAGAGATGCCGGGACAGCGGTGGTGGGAGCAGGGTGGGTGAAACAGCCAACCCCATCGCTGCCTGTACCTCCCCGGCAGGGCCGGGCGGCATCAGCCACGGTGCCCCCACCCTGGGGTGCTGCAGGTCCTGTCCGATACCCAGGGCTGCCCAAGGTGCTTCTCCATCCCTGGGAGACACAGGATAGATGATGGGATATGATGGGATGGGATGGGATGGGATGGGATGGGATGGGATGGGATGGGATGGGATGGGATGGGATGGGATGGGATGGGATGGGATGGGATGGGATGGGATGGGATGGGATGGGATGGTGGCTCCGGTGTGGGACCTTCCCTCCCCTCCATCCCACAGGACCACCAGCCCAGGGCGAGACCACAGCCCCACGCCCTGGTGAGCTCAGGCACAGGCGGGCCCCGGCCCCAGCTCTCCCTCCCCGGGCAGCCAACGGCCCGAGAGCCCTGCAGCGGGGAAGAGGAGTTGGACGCAACTTTATAAATCATTGTCTCCCTTTATAGATGGAGTTTTAACCTTCCCGGCTTCTGCCTGGGGATTTATTATCAGTTTCATTTCCTGCAGCAATAACTCACCACGCTCCCCGGGGCGGGCGGCGGGTCTCCTCTGCACCCCAGAGTGGGCCCTTGGCACCCCGGCAGGGATGGGACACCTCCTCACCCCCATGCCTGGGTGCCCACGGGCAGGGGTGCCCCCGGGACCCCGTCCTGCAGCATTGCCTTTTCCCCGATGCAGTGCCAATGAACAGCTGGGTCTCCTGCCTGCGGGCAGGGATGGGGGCTGTGGGCCCCTGCCTGCACCACTGATGGGACAGGGACGGGGATGGGGACAGGGGTGGCTTCACAGCCACCAGCTGGCGCTGGTGGCGAAACCCCTGTCCCCGAGGTCCTTGGCTTGACCCGTTCATATTCCCACACAAACCTGGCAGCCAAGGGATTTTCGTTCTCCAAAGGATTTTCTTAATTAGGAGACTTCATAACTCGCTATCGCGCACACATGCGCACCCACTCATCTCCATCTCTTCAAAGGCTCTGCCCACCCACCCTGCTGCAGTGCTGCGGGCAGGCGCCGGGGCCAGACCGGTGCAGGGGCATCGCGGTGGCATCGTGGCGAGGAGGGGGCATGGACCCTCTCCCCAGCTCCCGGCGCGGGGACCCTGCCCCCCCCAGGGCTGAGCCCGGGGAA